CAGTCAAGAAGAGAACAGGGAGAGTTAGGTGATCTCTTGAACAAATCACCCCTCAGTCCGCCATCATAGGGTCAACTTGCAAAGGGAAGGCAAGGAGTTTTCCCAACAAACCGCCCCGTGACGAGATCCTACGCCCGGGCCCATAACATTTTGGTATCAGAGCCGAGCGTCATGGGCGACATGGAGCAGCTATCGACCAGGGTTCATGAGCTGGAACACCGTCTCGTGGAAAATCATGCAGAGGTAAGGGAAGTTAAAGAGGATGCCAGGGAACTTCGACGTTTACTGGAGTTATACTTCTCCACTAGAGAAGGGAGCCCTGAAGGGGCAACCACTCATCACAGCCGCCGCCCAGATCGGGCAGAGGGCTCCGGTGAGCAACAGAGTGACACACCAACAGCAGCAATCATACCCAAATACAGTCGTCTAGAGTTCCCCTCATACAGCGGCAACGGTGACCCACTTGGATGGCTGTACCATTGTGAGCAATTCTTCCGCAATCAGCGCATGGAAGAGAAGGACAAGGTCAGCCTGGCAGCATTCCACTTGACCGATGAAGCACAGCTCTGGTTCTACCGAGTGGAGCAGGAGGAACCAGGCCTTAGTTGGGGCCAGTTCAATTCGTATTGCCTCCTCAGGTTCGGGCCCCCATTAACGAGCAACCCCTTGGGGGAGCTCATTAACCTCAATCAAACCGGGACCGTCGCGGATTATCAGCGGTAGTTTCAGACCCTTCTCGCCAGAGCCTCTTTGGTTCGGCCAGACCAGCAGGTGGATATGTTCACAGCCGGCCTATCGGAACCTCTAAGGGTTGATGTGGAGATGCAGAGCCCACCCAACTTGGTCACAACAATGAATCTGGCCCGAGCGTTTGAGCGCAAGCTACAGATCAGCTGAGGGCCGTCCAGCATGGGGTGTCCCGCAACGACTTGGGTGAACCCAAGATCTACCATAGGAGGGCCTTCAATAGGGAACAACGCCCTTTCACCAGCAACACAACCCGAGCTGCAACTAGCATAGGTAGTAGCACGATAGCACCTCCCATCAGACGCTTATCCAGGGCCGAGATGGCAGAGCGCCAAGCCAAGGGCCAATGCTTCAACTGTGACGAGTTGTACTCAGTTGGCCACTGTTGCAAGCGGTTATTCTGCCTCCTAGTAGACGAGCTAGAGGAGGAAGAAGAGGAACAGGCGACACAAGAACCCGAGATCTCCCTCCATGCCATCACTAGAGTCCAAAACTCCCAAACCATGCAACTAGAGGCCCAGGTGGCAGGAAAACAGGTACGGATTCTGGTTGATTCAGGGAGCACCCACAACTTCATCAGCAAGCAGGCTGCGCTCCGACTGAATCTACCAATGGAAGACAGGCCGCGGCTCCAGGTGGCTGTAGAAAATGGGGAGAGAATTCATAGTCCAGGGATCTGCCGAAGTGTCCAAATCCAGGTGGATTCTGAACCATTCCTCGCAGATCTATTTGTACTGACCTTAGACGAGTTCGACATAGTGTTGGGGATTAAGTGGCTCATCACCCTCGGCCCCATCCTATGGGATTTCAGCGCCTTGACCATGACATTTGACTTACATGGGAAGCGGGTCACTTGGAAAGGGACCAAGATGAGAGCAAGGAAATCACAGGTGCATACTCTCCATGGCGACGCCTTGCACACCGCGGAGATGGAGAGGCTTCTTGCAGACTTTTCAGACGTGTTCTCAGAACCCAGGGGCCTTCCACCTAGCTGATCATGTGACCATCGGATCCCATTAATACCAGGGGCAGGACCCGTCGTCGTGAGGCCGTACCGCTACCCGCACCTACAGAAGGACGAGATAGAGAGGCAGTGTGCAGAGATG